GATTGGGACCACTGTGCTTCAAGAAAATCCTCATCAGCCAACCCAGCATATTTGGACCCTCACCCAAACCACTGATGGACAAAACATCTCTACCTACCCTGCTTATGGGGCTCCCTGATTTCGATTCAATATGTATAACCTTTTTGGAGTAAAATGGAATATTAGACATAGGGGACATATAGGGGTTTCGGCCTACAGTTGTGGAACCGTCTCCTTAGAAAAAGGGATACGGCACTCTCAGCACTGTATTTGTCCTGCAGAGGGGAGCCCAGATTGCCAGGGGCCAGATGAATATCACTGTGCTTCTTGGGGTTGTGAAACCTTGGTCCCCTGGACCTCCCGGGACCCAGATATTCAACTTCTATGTCAAATTCAGCCCCCACCAGAAAAATGTACAATACCAGGGACTTGTAACCCTGTCATAATAACTGTAAAAAGTTGGGACAACCCCATTTGGCTGACAGAAGGACTTGGGGCCTGCACCTATATGTAACAGGCAGAGATCCTGGCACTACTTTTACCATCCAAAAGACTCCCATCAAGCATGTTACCAAGCCAATAGGCCCTAACTTGGTTCTTACCCCTATTTTGGACACTGTAGAAGTAGTCCACAGATTTGTAACTAACCCCAATGACACCTTAGATTGTTGGTTCTGTTTAAATCCATCAATCCATCCCCTCCTTATGTAGGGATTGGAACAATTGGATCCATAGGCTCCTCTATAGATCAGATCAGAAATATTTCCATCAAAACTATCATGTGGGACATGAGTCTTTGTCACTGGGGACAGAAACCAAAACTAATTTTGGGAGACTTTCAAGGACAGGGACTTTGTCTCATATCCAAGAGCTACCAGGTGCATAACTCGGCATATTGAGACTCTTGTCTAGGAATAGTATCTGTTGAAAAACCTGAGGACTCTGACTTTGACTAGGGCCCCTTTTTCCTAGCAGCCCCTGAAGGCACTTGGTTTGCTTCTACTACTGGTCTCACCCCCTGCATCACCCCTCGCGCTATGACTAAAGTTGGCCTCTGTGTACTAACTCATGTTATTCCACAGGTTTATTTCTACTCTGAAGAAGGGGAATGGGAACATTTTGGATTACAGATGCGGTGGACCAAAAGAGCCCCTATCCTTGGGCCCCTCCTAGTAGGCACAGGGTTGGCAGGCTCCACTACAGTAGTAACTGCTGCTCTTATAACTGGAAATAAAAACTTCAAAACTCTAAGTCACCAAATAGATCTAGATCTACAAGATCTGGAAAAGTCAGTCTTCCATTTAGAAAATGCATTAAACTCCTTGGCAGAGGTAGTCCCCCAGAACTGGCAAGGACTCGACCTACTCTTTCTAAAATAAGGGGACTATGCCTGGCCCGAGGGGAAACCTGCTGTTTCTATGCCAGTCATTCTGGCATTCTCACAGACAGCCTATCTGTGGTGAGACAAAGACTGAAAGAGAGAAAGAAACAATGAAAAAATTGTGACAACTGGTTTAAGGATTGTTAACTTCAACTTCCATATTACTACCCCCAGCCTCTTATTGTTTAACCTCGCTCCAAGCCCCTTGTTCCAGGAAACCAAAGCTTATCACTGCGGCCAGGCGGAGCAGTATCCTGAAACCCCCACCCAACCTAAACAGCCACTGGAGGAGAAGAACAACTCTCGGAAAGACCCCAGCCCCGACAATCAAGGACGACATGGACTCCTTGGCGGGGCAGCCACCCACCCCAGCCCTAAGTTTAAAACCCTTAGTCTGCATAAACCGGCTGCTGCGCTCACTTGGAGGCAGCCCTGCAGGCATTTCCCTCAGTAAACCTGCGCTTCCTGGTTACTCAGCACCATCCCATTCTTATAGGGATTATATAACTGGTCCCCATAGCTAACTACTCTCCTAGCCACTGCTGCAGGTCCCCTAATACTAATCACCCTAGGACTGTTTTTCTGGACCTTGCATAATAAATTGCTTCACTGCATATGTTAGAAAAGGGATCCAGGCTGTAAAACTTATGGTCTTATGAACCCATTATCAGCATATCTGTACTGAAAATGATGAGTAAACAATGATTTGATTCCACCAAAACAAAACAAAACAAAACAAAACAAAACAAAACAAAACAAAACAAAACAATGGGGAATGTGCTGGCATCTTTATAATTGATGATTGGTAAATTATTGTGCTGCTCCATAACTGATGATTGGCAAAGTCACTGTGTGCCCTCTAGCTGAACCTGTTTAGTCAAAATAACCTCAGTAAATTGGAATACTCCCTGAACCAAGAAATTGTTGGGAGCCGGCTATGCGTCTGATAAGAGTCCACGGAGCCAGAGACTTGACCTTTCCCACACTCTCAAGGAACCAGACCTGCATTGTGTTTGTGCAGCTCGGGGCTAAGTGTGGGAGACATTTTGCATGGCATCCATTTTGTTACTAAAATCTGCTCTGCCATCACCTTCCCCAAGGCAGGATGTCTCTGCCTTCTGCATTTCTTTATCTCTACATTTCTTTAAGTAAAATCTGCTCTGCCATCTTCTGCCCCAAGGCAGGATATCTCTGCTTTATCTCTGCATTTTGAACCATTTACTCAGTCTTCTGTTCCACCCGTGCTTCGGGGCGGTTACTCAATAACTATCGCTTGATAACAAATGATCTTGTTTTTCCTGCCCTATATATTGTGTGAATTTCCCCAGAATAAACAAGACTTGATCAGAGCCCTGTCTTGTCTCCATTTCTCGTGTCTCTTGTCCCTCCTCATCCTCACTCCCCCTCTAGAGTCCTCGTTGCTCGACCTGCGGGCCGGGTCAGCTAAGTGTGACCCAATGTACCTTGAAATACCTAAAATACCTGGGTGTTACTGGGTGTTTCTGGGTGCGCCTGGGTGTCCTGTTATCCGTAAGGCAAACTAATTCTATACAGCATTGCTGTGGCCCTGGGCATTTTATCAAGAAGATCCTATTTTCTGTAAGGTATAAAAAGCATGTAATAAAGCATATTGGGGCTGATTCCAAAGACCCTGTCACAGGGGTGTTCAGAATCAGACACCGGCTGGCTAATAAATGGCTCTTATTTGGATTTCAGTTCTCTAGTGGTCTTTCTTTGACTCTGTCGCCACAACATTATGACTCAGTCAGTGAAACATGGATGGTCTATGGCTTCATTTGAAAACGTCCCCCTGTTGGCCCCTCCCGTTGTCAGGCGGGGAGACTCTCAGGACTTTGCCCCCATCAGCGGGAAGCAGTGGAGAGGGACCTGATTCCCCTTTTCCTTGAAAGGATTCAGAGACAAAATCTATAAGAAAAAAATACAGTAGGCCAGGAATAATAGAGTTCAATAAGATACTGTCCATTAAAAACAAATCTCATAGATATGAGATGATAAAATCAACTGGAGGGAATGAAAGGGGTGGGAGAGAATGACAGAATGGAGAACTAATCACAGTGGGGCACTGGCCATAGTTAGAAGAAATGTTAATCATCCTTTGCAATGTTAAACATGATTGCTTTGTTCTGACTTTAAAAAGCCCATTCTGACAAGCCTGGGAGGTGTGCGCCTCAGGAGCTTACCTCAGGAATGCTGTCCAATCTAATCTGAGGACAAGGGGGACCACCTGACCTAACGGAAAGATGAACAACCTGATTATCGAAACACATGACCTGTGATGGTGAGTCCCTGGTGACCAGCCCCTGCAACCCCCAGCCCACATTCCTCTCCCTTGCCTGCCGTCTTTTACACTCTCCTCTGGCCCATACTTCCCTCTCCTTGCCTGTAACCATTTTACCCATTTTTTTTTTTCCTGCCTAACTGCCATTTCTCACATAGTCATTGTTTCTATGCCCTTTAAAAGCAGCTGGCAAGAGGCTGGGGTGGAGCAGATCTCGGGGGTGACCCACTGCTCTCATACTGTTGGCAATGCTGGAATAAATGCTCATGCAGGAGTCAACCTCGTCTCCGCTTAATTGGCTCAATTAGTGGCCCCAACCCATTTGTTGTCTAGTTTTACTTGCACTGTTTATTGAAGCATGTTATACATTTTGGATAAGTAGAAAGAAAGAAAGAAAAGAAAATCTTAGGGGGAAGCATGGTGAAAATAAAATTGGTAGTGTAGGAACCTGCAAGATGAAATAAGGGCTCAGAGAATAAGCTAATTGGTGAAGTATGGAGCCAGTTTGGAAGATAAAATCAATGGTATTGTATAGTTAGAGCTGCCTTTGAAGTCATTGATAAAAAAGTTTGGGATATATATTTCAGGTACTGAAAATTTAGAATCATTGAAAAATTTAGAGTTAAGAAAAAATGTAATCAGAGTTTTGTTGTAGGAAAATAACCTTGGGAGATGTGATGAGCTTAGAAATGAGTTAGGAAGCTCACATTAGTCTAGGCAAGAGGTAAAATGTTTCCGAACCAATGGGTGGCTATAGAAATGAGACTTCATAGAAATAAAACAGGGAGATGTAGCTAAAATATTAGAATATGATTATGGAGGTACTGACAGAAGTCAAACTATGACTGAACTGTAGCCCTGGCTGGGGATGGAAGGGAGTCCAGTCAAGTGTCTAGGTTGTGGTGAGAGATGGGGATGAAGGTATTACATACTGTATGAACCCTGAAGGGAACTGGAAGATTCTCATGGGAAAAGAGTCACCTGATGGTTACTTAGCTGGAAACAGTCACTGTTACACATGTTAGTGCTGCATTAAAACTTAGTTTGGCCTTGGTGGGGTAGCTCAGTTGGTTAGAACATTGTCCCAAGACACCAAGGTTATACATTCAATCCCTAGACAGGGCACATACAAGAAGCAACCAATGAATGCATAAATAAGTGAATTAACAAATCAAAGTTTTTTTTTCTCTCTCTCTCCCTCCCTCCCTTCCGCTCTATCTAAAAAGCAATAGAAAAATGTCCTTGGATGAGTATTAACAACAACAACAACAACAAAACCCCACAGAAAACAATTTAGCTTGAAAAAGTAATCTGAAAACTTTAGTTTGTGAGGACTGAATCATATTTAATATGTGAACAAGCACGTGATCTGTAAACTTAAGTATAATGATAATTAGCAACAATGTCATGTTCATAACTAGTAATTTAGTGAACCTTTATCCCTCCATATTGCCATTCTGTTCTCACTCTCCACCTTGCCCTCAACCTCTACTAATCTGTTAATTGCCTTTATAGAGTGAACAAAAGCAAACATAATAAATAACTAGTCTAAGAACCTGAATCCAATATCATGTGGTCTGGGTAATAAAACATTTATAGATAATTACCTAATAAATTTGGAAATAAATGAAAACACTTTTTTCTCTCTTACTAGAGTTGGAAGTGGAAAGTTAGACTTGTATTAGCCATTTTCTTCTTATAGTCTTCATCAAACCTCTCATTCTGAGCCACAGTGAAGTGATTCTTCCAGTCTCCAACTGCCCCTGAAACAATCCCCAGGGAGAGTCAGCAGCTGTTGCAGGAATTTGCATTTCTCTACTCTCCTGTTTCTGTGTGTGCTTCACTCCACCCTCCAGCAGGGGCAGTGTCAGACAAAGCATTTCTCTTGCTAGCCTGTCACTTTTTCATCCTGAAGGGAAGAAGTCTTGTCTGACAGTGAGACAGGCAGAGCCTATTACCCACTGAGCCACATTACTGGGGGTGGGGATGGAGACCCCACCACTGAGTTAAAACAGCAGGGCTGAGGGGCTTCCTCGTCTTTCTTGCCTGTCCTGTTGCATATCAAAGCATGCTGATAGCTTCCATGCTATAGACAGACCAACAAGGGCCTGCTTCTGAGAGAACTCAAGGTACAGTCTTGAGTAAGAAAACAAAAAAGATCCCCCAAGTTGTCCAGTTTCAATCCCTGTTACCTTTCCCTCCATAGATTTTACCCTAATCTGTTGTACTGTGTATTCTTGTTTATTTTGTTTATGGCTAGATACAGTTCCATGATGGAAGGGGTTTGTGTGTGTGTGTGTTGTTCCCTGCTTTGAATATTACCTAGATCTGTGCGTGGCACGGAATGGCCACTGAATATGTATTTTTGAATGAATGAATCTGATAGCATAGACACATCTATAAAATGAATTCTTTGCTCCATCTGACTTAATTCTGTATATTTTTACCTTATCTAAAAGTCTGGAGGAAAAGTGAGATAAGAGGATGAATTTAGACACTAAGCTTCACTCTCTAATGTGACTAAACTTTTGTCATTTCATCTGTTGTCCCTTCAATGATACTTTCCCAGTATTTTTCTTACCCATATAAATCTCCCCAAAGGATCTAAAATATAGGACAGTTCTTTTAAGATTATGACTAAAAGAAAACATAAAAACCTTTTCTCATGAATGGAGAAATAGAGTGGTCCATGATTTCAGTAGGAATTGATGAATAGTTTGCCATCGGGTTTTGCTTCATAACATCAAATGAAGTGTGATGAACAATTTTATCTAGAACGTTATCATCTAGGTTTTTTCCAATAAATTCTCCCAGCTTCCGAATTTCATGCTTTGTGTTCTTGATCAGAGTGAAAAGAAATGTAAAGATTTAATATAAATAGTTAAAAAAGAATATTGAATTAAATTAATAATAGTGATAAGTAATATATCATGAGTTAAAATAAAAAATAATCCTGCCTTGCTCTGGCTGGTTTGGCTCAGTGGTTAGAGCATTGGTCTGTGGACCAGAGAGGCCTGGGTTCAGTTCCCACTAAGGGCACGTACTTCGGTTGTAGTTTGTCCCCAGACCTGGTTGGGTCGTGCGGGTGGCAACCACTAGATGTGTCTCTCTCACATCAATGTTTCTCTCTCTCTCTTCCCCCCTCTCTCCTTCCCACTCTATCTGAAATGCAAAAATGTCCTTGGGTGAGGATTAAAAAAATAAATGAATAAATAAAATAAAAAAATAATCCTGCCTCACAAATGCTCAACTTTCCAGAAATGACTCATTTTAATATAATGAGACATGTTTCTTTTATTAATGTTTTTTTTCTTTTCATTAGAACTATTAAACTTTCCTTGCTCTAAGACAGAAGCAACCACCGAGTGTGATGATACCAGTGTGTGGAACATGTTTCCCGGGAGGAACGTGGCAAAGCTTATTTCCAAATGTCCTGCTCAAGTTAGTTATCAGAAGGGCTTGGTCAGCAAAATGTCCACAGACTGACAACGAGAACAAAGATACCGCAGAAGCACAGGGCAAACCGTTTAAGACCTGACCAAAAGCAGGCTGCCTCTTGTTTCTGACATTGAGAGAGATGTTCCCAGACATTGCTGTGGTGGCCGGAGGATGGGAGAGAACTTAGTTGTACTCATGAGGCCGCTCAGCAGCCTGTGTAATAACAGGTGCTCAGGATGTGCAGATGTTTAGGTGTCTGGAGAGGGACTCATTTCCAATGCAGCCACTGTCTTCCCATCTGAGGGCACATACGCCTGGAAGATGTGGCCCTGGGAATTCCCCTGTGTCTAGGTGGGGGACAGAAAGTGGAAGCATTCACCCCTACAAATGCATTGTCTGCTTTAAAACAACTTTGGATAACAGCCCTGGCTGGTTTGGCTCAGCAGTTAGAGCATCAGCCTGGGGACCAGAGAGTCCCAGGTTCCATTCCCCCTGAGGGCATGTGCCTTGGTTGTGGTTCCTCCCCACCCTGGTTGGGGTCCTGTGGGTGGCAACCAGTCCATGTGTCTCTCTCATATTGATGTTACCCTCTTTCTCTTCCTCCCTCTCTCCCTCCCGTTCTTTCTGAAGATAAATGCAAAAATGTCCTCAAGTGAGGATAAAAAAATAAAAGTTTGGATGACAAAAGTGCTTAATTTAATTGGCTTCACACAGACTGGGAATCAGCAAGAGTGCTGAAAACTGTCAGGTTTGTGTGACTACATGCAGGGAATATTCCAGACTGTGATCACAAAAATACTTAAATGGCTTTTAGGGACTGAGGTTACACTACCGGTTTCAATAAAGTTTATTTCTGGCATTCATAATACACTAAGGTCTGCCCAGCACAAAAAGCACCTGTCCTCCCTTGGACACTGCTGTGATGCACACCAATAGGGAGCTCCCTGTGAGTGTGGGGGTGCCCAGTGAGTGTGGGGGCACCCAGTGAGTGTGGGGGCACCCAGAGAGTGTGGGGGCGCCCAGAGAGTGTGGGGGCGCCCAGTGAGTGTGAGACTGCCCGTGAGTGTGGGGGCACCCAGTGAGTGTGGGGGCGCCCAGAGAGTGTGAGACTGCCTGTGAGTGTGGGAGCGCCCAGTGAGTGTGGGGGCGCCCAGTGAGTGTGGGGGCGCCCAGAGAGTGTGAGACTGCCTGTGAGTGTGGGAGCGCCCAGTGAATGAGTGTGGGGGCACCCTGTGAATGAATGTGGGGGCACCCTGTGAGTGTGGGAGCGCCTGCAGTGTCACCTCTCCTCATAAACGAGCACTTTCCCTTGTTACATCTTCCTGCCATCACCTTGCCTAACTGAGTGTGTCTGGAATTCTGTGATTAAATAACTCTCTGAACTTAAATAGTGCATATATCTGAAAGGTATTTCCTCAGAACATGAGCAATAATAGTCTCCTAGTGATGTGGTCCTGTTTTTCAGTGACCATTGTGGTATCTCAACACTGTTGAAGTAAACACAAAGAAGGAGGAAATTTTATACTGATAACTCTGTAGGTTGTCCTGAGAGCATTTTAATCATGGTTCTGAGAGTACTACAAATGTAATAACTTAATCTGTTTAAAAAAACGCAGAGTGCAATTTAAAACAAAACAAAACAAAATAAGTGTTTGTAGATTAGGGAACAGATCGGTGGCTGCAGGACCCAGGTGGTAGTGGGGTGCACTGGGTGTGAAGTGAGTGAAGGGGCTAAAACTTCTGGTATAGAATCAGCGAGTCCTGGGATGTGGGGCACGGCAAGGTGACTAGGTAATGGTACTGTACTGCACACCTGAAAGTTGCTATGATAATAGATCTTAAAAGTTCTAATTACAAGGAAATTATTATAACTACATGTGGTGACAGATGTTAACAAGACTTACTGTGGTGATCATTTTGCAATGTATACAAATATCAAATCATCACGTTGTATACCTGATACTAATACATTGTTATATATCAGTTATATCTAAATTTTAAAACACAGAAAATGATTCTGTGTTTTTCACTCTTGATATTTTATATCTAGCAATAAAGCCCAAATTTGAATTCAATCATTCTGACTCTAAATGACTAGTATTTTCTCATTGCACCATAACTTCTTAAACTGTGTCTTAAAACTGATGTTCCTCAGGCACTAATGGAGAAAACAAACAAAACGTGCTAGAAAAAGTTTTCCTCTTAAATAGAATTTAAAAATATATATGCCTGTAAGAAAAAAGTGACTGTACCCCAGAGTACCAGGAAGTTGCGGGTGAGACTATGTGATCCGTGAACTCATGATATCCCATGCACATTTTGATACACATGAATTGCTATAACGTGAAATGCAGCTATTTTTTTTTTTTTTTGTATCCTCACCAGAGGACATTTTTGCATTTATCTTGAGATAGAGCGGGAGAGAGAGAGGGAGGATGTGAGAGAGACACATCGAGTGGCTGCCACCCACACGACTCCAACCGGGGTTGGGGACAAACTACAACCGAGGCACATGCCCCTAGTGGGAACTGAAACCAGGCCTCTCTGGTCTGTGGGCCAACTCTCCAACTGCTGAGCCAAACCAGCCAGGGCAAAATGCAGCTTTTTTCTGTTCCCTGTTTCAATCTGTGAGTCCCTGATGGGACTTAGACACTTTATGGTCAGATAGGCACACATTGGGCGTTACGCCCACTCACCATCTTCAGGTCCTCATAGAAGAGGTAGAGAATGCGGTGTCGATCTTTGGCCTCCCACCATCCTCTCACGTGGTCATACCAGGAGCCCCAGCACACTGCAACACAGGACAGAAACCAGGGCAACAAGTCACAGAGTCCGAACCAGAAAATACCCCACTGAAAAGAGAATCACTTTCAAGAAGTCAGATTCCATGCTGTACTAAGGAAATGATTCTTTTTATAGTGTATAAAGGTTTTGAGAAAGGAAGAATTCAAAGTTGACTTTTCATACCTTTCCCAGTCAGAAAACTCTCAAAATACTCTTCCCAGGTTCCCGGGGCAGGGAGGGCTTTGTTCATCCGTTGGAAGTGGTAATAAGACACCATGTTGTCCTTGGGATTTCTTGCTACATAGATTATCTGGGAAAGGTGGGAGGAGAGGAAGAAATACAAGATTAGACATCTGAGTAGTTATTGCCCAGACAAATTATGTTAGGGTGGATACATTTCATACAGGTGCATTTTTCTGATGCTGTATTCTTGTGATCTTGGTGTTCATAGAAGGTGAAAGGATTCGTATCAGTTGGCATATCGATCATTGTGAAGAGGTGAACAATTTCTTCTTTGGTAATAAGTGAAGTATTGTGAGGACATAGACGGAAGGCCAGGGCACAGCTCAGAACTCCTTGGGTCTTTACCTTACAGTTTTTCTCCAGGAAAGACGGGGGCAGCAAGTCGATGGGAAGATGCGTTTTCAGGGTCCGTGGTGAGGGCATTGCATTGGCCTGTTCCAAACCTGTAACATTGATTTTTTTATCATTTCCCACTATTTTTCTGTATTTGCTTCAAAATTGCTGCTTTTTTTTATTACTACCTTAGAAACAATTGAATAGTTTAAGGCAGCTGGAAGACCTCTGATCTGATTTGATTTCATAGGTCTAACCTCTGAACTAATTTTTTGTCTTAATGTCTAACCATAACAAACAGCAAACCAAATAAATAAGAACCTAAAAAATTCAAATGTTTGACCAAGAAATTACTTAGGCTCATCCTTGTAGAATAAAATTAATTTCTAATTGGAGAATCAAAATGTAACTTACTTTTGTATAAACACTGACTCCATTAGAGAAAAATGTGTGGGATACAGCACTGTCCAGATACAATTTTTTAAAAAGTCAGAGTCACAAAATCCATCAACAATTGTTTGAATGCCTAGAATTTTGAGAGGGCTGTTGGATGGTAAACGTTCTAAGTATGTATTTAGGACTACCGTCGAGTGAGGTTATTCCATGCTCACCAGATCCTATGGACGGAATCGTCCACTCAATGAAAGGAAACCGCACATGAGTAGGTGCCCGTTGACCTCTGTCAGCATCACCTTCGTTTTGTACTAAGTCCACTATCTCCTGAGTCCATGTTGTTCCTTATTCCGCATGGAAGATGAAGACGAACAGACATTTAGTTTACTATATTCCTTAAAAGATGATCAAATACCTGTTAAAACATCTGTGTACATTTTTAAGCTAGATCTATAATGGAATTCAGAAAACATTATTATATATATATATACACATATATATATTATTGTTGAAAGTATTACAGATACCCTTCCTTTTCCCCCATTGACCCCCTCCTCCCTGCTCCCACACCCCTTCTACTTTCCCCAGTCATTTTTTATATCTTGTTTTATCATAATATGATTTTTAATGAAAAGACGAGAATTTGAAGTAGGCTTTATACTGATAAATATAAAATTCATTTTTTCTGCCACAACCATTAATTTGGATTGTTATCCTAGTGATTTAGCTGCCTTGCTCTTTAGAAAGACTAGTTCTCTGACCATGAACTGGAGGCTTTTGGGGGTGCTGGAGGGCTTCTGAAATGAAATCAGCATTGCAGAACCAAAGCTTTCTAAATTCTTCCCCAATCAGCCTGGGGATCTATTTTCTAGCTCACTCACACTCAGGAGCTTTTTAGAGATCTACAAGAAAGGCCTGCATTGGAAATAAACAAATCAACACATCTAGCCCTTTTGTTGTTGGCTGTTTTATTCACTTTCTTCTAAGGAAGTAAAAAAAATAATGTACATTACAGGAAGATTAAAAGTTTAAGATGGTTGGTCATTTTAATATTTTATGTGTAGTTTCAGTTTCCACAGTGATTTGTCTTGGCAAAATCACTCTGCCCAGTAAACAATTTTCCACTCAAACTCGAATCACTTTCTTTATCTCATGAATGTGTCTTTCCCACTTACCTGCCTAAGTCTCTTCTTCACCTTCCCTGCACCCTTCCCACCTACCTGCCTTAGGATAGGTAGCAATAAGTAGATCATCAGGCTTGGCTTGGAAGTTCCAGATCTGATCCCAGATGTCACAGGTGGGTGTGGGTTGAAGAATTCCCTTCACGTAGTCCACAGTTAGGCGCGCTATTCCATCAAATTTCAAATCCTCCATTTTGTTTAAGGCCATTAGTGTCAGAAATCAGAGTACTATTTCATATAAAATTTAGCTTTCAGTCAGCACAGAGGTGTATTGATATAACACAGACAATGCAAAACTTTGACCTCAAGCCCTTCCCAGAACAGCCTGGTGACGGCTGTAACTCGGGAAAATAGCAAGAGGCTTGCTGGTCTGAGGTCCGTCTGGAGAGCTGGGAACTATTGTTTAGGACTTTGCACATAGGCGTTCCCTAGTCAGCTCCCGCCCTCCCAGCCAGGCTGTGACACAATCAGTCCCCAAGGCACTCAGATCCTGCAGCTGTGTAGGCCTGCTCAGTCCTCTCTCTTAGATCAGTTTAACAAGAGTTAGTGCCAAGTTGTTTATATGTCTCATCTGTTTTCATAAAATAATTCACAGATACTTTCACTAATTCTGGGAATTTTAAACTAAATGAAAGTGGACAGAATTTGCCAGTGGAATCAGAGATTGCAACATGAAATAACTTCCTTGAAAGGCTGACGGGAAATTTCTGTGGACTGTTAACAATAAAGTCCTAGAATTGAATCTCCCAGCACAGAGTATTTGAAAAGGTCAGCTTTGTTACTGTTAAAGAATAAAATAAGCAATGCTCTATTAGAGAAGGTTTCCTTCCTTTTGCAGGTTGTTTAATACCAGTATCAATAGGAGTCTCTTCACAGCTATTAAAATATGTCTCAAAAGCAAAATGTTTGCAAAAACTCTGGAGTTACAGAAGACAGTGATTGTGTCAGGACACACATCCATTTACTTCTTCCTTCTTGGAGTTCATTTCCCAGGCTTATGCCAGAGTCCCCTTTAAGACTTGTTCTTAAAAGCCTTGAGGTTTATCTATCTTGCCTCTTTCCTTGGAAAATTTCTGGCTCCTCTGTAAGTTTTTTTTCTTCTCCTAGTTAAACCACAACCTCTTCTTTTCTGACCATCTATAAATAGGCCAGATTCTTTTTAGTTTTTAACTGCTAAGTATTATGAGGTCACTTACCCAATGTTTCTATCTTTTCTTGTGATATGATAAAGTATATATCTATATGATTCTTGTCTCTGATTCCTGGCATGAAGTTTCATAACCTGTGTAAGTTCCAGTAATTGGAGGGTCTTTTGTTATTTGTAATGAGTCCCTTCCAACAATACCTGAGATATGCCAAGGAGGCGACTCCAGTTTCAGAGCAGGGGCTGGCCACACCAGAAAGGTCTAGCACATGATTGGAGGGTTGGAACTTTCAGTTCCATCCCAAGCTCCAGGAAGGAAAGAGGGGCTAGAAACTGAGTTCAATCATGTGGCCAATTACGTGATAAGACCCCAGTAAAACTCTGGACACTGAATCATCAATGGTTTGTGAACACAGTTATGTTCTTGGAGGGTGATGTTCCCAGATTCCACAAAAAAAAGGGCATGGAAGCTGTTGTCCCTCTTCTTCATGACCTTGAACTATGCACCTCTTCCATTTGACTGTTCCTGATCCTATAGCTGGTTGGTCAGACGTACAGATGATCCTAAAACATGTGGCTGACATCTCAAGTGGGGCAGTCTGTGAAAGACTTTGTCTTTAACTTGTGGGAACTGTACTAACTTCAGGTAGTGTCAGAACTGAGTTGAATTATAGCACACCTGGTTGGTGTCAGATATTGCTCTCTTGCCCCAAGCAACCCTCAGTGGCTTTCTCAGAATCCATTCTGTTCCCAGAAGTAAGGAATTTCAGTACTTGCTTAAATCCCCTTCCACCCAAACCTTTGCAAGATTCCTGAGGGCTTTTAAGTAGAGGCCTCTGCCTGTACTCCAAGTTAAGCCACCCTTGTTGCCTCTCACAGGGCTGCAGCCCAAAGTTTGTCTATTCTCACAAGCACCAGGCTTCCCCCGGTGTTGCCAATACTGCCTTTCTTTTCCTGATATTCTCTTTAGCTCTTGCATGCCTGGCTCTTGCTCAGTGTTTTGGCTTCCTTCACATCGTCTTTAATGTCTCCTTAAAGGCCCCTTCTGAAGAGGGCCTCCCTGAACTTCAGTGCTGCCTGAAGTAGGTCCCAATGTCCTTGTTTGAGGCATTTTTCCTTCCTTTAGAGTAGCTATCAAAATTTAGTCTAGTTTTTTTTTTTTTTTAATTGAGGTAACATTGGTTTTTATTACATTATATAAGTTTCAGGTGTGCAGCATTATATAATTCCATATCTGTTTATACCACACTGTGCTCACCACCTAAAGTCTAGTTTCCATTCATCACCATACAGTTGACACTTTACCTGTTTCACCCTTGCTCTACCCCCTGCCCCTCTTTGAACCACTGACCTGCTGTCTGCCTCTATGAGTTTATTTATTTTATTTTTTAAATATACTATGTGAGTGAAATCATGTGGTATTTATCTTTTTCCATCTGACTTATTTCACTTAGCATAATATCTTCAGAGTCTATCAACATTGTTTCAAATTCACCTTTTTATGCCTAAGTAGTACTACATTGTGTGTGTGCATGCACACACACACATATTTGCACAGACCATATTTCTTATCCTTTTATCTGCCTATGGATACTTAGGTTATTTCCATATCTTGGCTATTGTAAATAATGCTGAAATGATCATAGGTGGGAAAACATCTTTTAAAATTAATGTTTTTGTATTATTTGAATAAACATTCAGAAGTGCAATAGCTGGATTATATGCTAGAGAACTATTTCTATTAATTTGTTGAGCACTCTTCATACTGGTTTCCATGGTGGCTGTAGAGCAGGTCCTCAAATATCATCATTTCATCAGAGCATCAATGGGATACCACAGGAATTTAACTCTTGTTCATATCGATAGCCTATGGTAAAATTGGTTTCATTATATGTTGTTTCCCTTAAAGTCAAAGAACTTATCTACGATGTTCTGTGAGGATTTACTGTAGCAATTTATACCCCTACCAACAGTGTACAAAGAGTTCCCTTTTTGCCCAGCTGGTGTAGCTCAGTGGCATTGACCCATGCACCAAGAGGTCGCCGGTTCAATTCCTGGTCAGGGCACATGCCCAGGTTGTGGGCCAAATCCCCAGACAAGGGCATGCAGCAGGCGTCCAATTAATGTTCTCTCTCATCGATGTTTCTATCTTTCTCTCCCTCTCCCTTCTTCTCTCTCTAAAGTCAGTAAAGAAAAAAAAAAGTAAAACAAAGAGTTCCCTTTTCTCCACATCCTCTCCAACTCTTGTTTCTTGTCTTTTTTATGATAGCCATTCTAACACATGTGAGGTGATATCTCATTATGGTTTTGATTTGCATTTTCCTAATAACTAGTGATGTTGAACACCTTTTCATGTGCCTGCTGGCCATGGGTCTTCTTTGAAAAAATATCTGTTCAGCTCCTCTGCCCATTTTTTAACCAGGTTGTGTGTTTATTTTGTTGTTGTTGTTGAGATAAAAGAATTCTTTATATATTTTGGATATTAACCCCTCATCAGATATGTGATTTGCAAACCTCTTCTCCAATTTAGTTAGTTACTTGTTCATTTTGTTGTCAGTTTCCTTTGCCATGAAGAAGCCTTTTAGTTTAATGTAGTACCCTTCTCCACTCTCATTTTGCTTTTGTTTTACTTTCTGCTAGAATCAAAGTCACAATAACATCGCTAAAACTGATGTCAAGGAGCTTGCTGCTTATGTTTTCTTCTACTTAAAAAAAAATTGTTTTAGGTTTTCAAGTCTTTAATTCATGTTGAGTTAATTTTTGTGCATTGTGTAAGATAGTGATCTAGTCTTATTCTTTTGATTGTGGCTGTCCAGTTTTCCTAAAACCATTTATTAAATATCCATTGTATATTCTTGGCTCCTTTGTCATAAATTAGTTGTCCATATATGTGTGAGTTTATTTCTGGGCTCTTGATTTTGTTCCATTAACCCATGTGTCCGTTTTCTACCAATACCATACTGGTTTGGTTACTACAGCTTTGTAATATAGTTTGAAATTAAGACGTGATATCTCTGGCTTTATTCTTTTTCCTCAGGATTGCTATGGTTATTTGAGGCCCTTTGTAGTTCTATACTAACTTTAGAATTATTTTTTTCAATTTTTATTAATTTATTTTTGTTACAGATGTTTCTCCTTTCTCCCTCTCAAACTCCTCCTCCCCATCCTGCCCCCAACACCCCTAGCATTGTTGTCTATGTCCATTGGTTATGCATATATGCATATAAGTTCTTTGGTTCATCTCATCCATCTCCCACCACCGCCCTACTCTGAGGTTTGTCAGTCTGAACCATACTCCTTTCTATGTCTCTCAATCTATTTTGCTCATCAGCCCACCTTGTTCATTATATTCCACAAATAAGTGAGATCACGTGGTATTTGTCTTTCTCTGATTGGCTTATTTCACATAACATAATACTCTTGATGTCCCTCCATGTTGTCTCAAAAAATAAGAAACCCTTTTTTCTTACATCTGCATAGTATTCCATTATATATATGTACCACAGCTTTTTTATCCACTCATCTATTGATGGACACTTGGGCTGTTCCAAGATATTGGTGATTGTAAATTGTACTGCTATGAACATAGGGGTACATATATTCTTTCTGATTAATGTTTCAAGCTTCTTAGAATATATTCCTAGAAGTGGGATCACTGGGTCAAATGGCAATATTTAATTTGACCCAATATTTAATTTTTTTTTTTTTTTTTTTTTTTTTTTTTGTGGTACGTGCCCTGAGTGAGAACCGAACCCGGGACTCTCTGGTCTGCAGGCCAACGCTCAACTGCTGAGCCAAACTGGCCAGGACCCAATATTTAATTTTCTGAAGAAACACCATAATGTTTTTTATAGTGGCTGTACCAGTCTGCATTCCCACCAGTAGTGTACTAGAGTCCTCTTTTCTCCACACCCTCGCCAGCACTTGTTGTTTGATGATTTGTTGATGGCAGCCATTCTGGCTTCTATGAGGTGGTACCTCATGGTTGTTTTAATTTGTATCTCTCTGATGATTAGTGATGTTGAGCATTTCTTCATATGTGGTGCCATCAATTTACTGATGTTACTTTTATATCCTGCTACCTTACCAAATGCATTTATTAAATCTAGTAGATTTTTGATGGGGTCTTTAGGATTTTCTATATACAATATCATATCATTTGCAAATAATGACAGTTTTACTTCCTCCTTTCCAATTTAGATCCCTGTTATTATTTCTTCATGTCTAATTGCTGTGGCTAAG